ATAGTAGATAATTATGTAGTGAATGTGTCGTGTGTCGTGTGTGTGATATGAGATAGAATCGTATGTGATTGTATATATTATATCTATCTATCTAATCTATCATATCTATCTATCTATCTATCTAATACTATCTATCTATCGATCTATCTATCTATCTATCGTTATATTATAGTGATGCACGCAAACTTAGGTATTATATTGTATACCATACATTTACACACATACACACACACACACCACACCACACACACAAAACACACACACACACACACACACACACACACACACACACCACACACACACAACACAGCTAGCTACACACACGTAGCACACACACACAACATGTATAGGGGGTATTTATTACTGATATAGTAGATGTATTATAGAATATATGTAAGGTATATTACATATATTATACTATATTAGTATTATATTATATATTATAATATAAATATAATATATGTATTGTAGCATATCATTATATATAGTATTATCCATACATAATATCATTATACATATATATATTAATAATATATGAATATAAAAATAAAGTAATATAAGATACTAATTTACCACTCAATAATATATGTAATATAATATGCTATATAAGAAGATATTAAAAACATAAAAATATATATAGTAATAGTAATGTATATAGTTATAAATATTATAACAATAAATAAATAGACGAATATTATATATATATATAGTTATAATATATTTAAAATATATATATATATATGCAAATAAGATAATGAACATATTATACTATAGTATATGACAATAATATATGTATATCGACATTAATTAAATACGAGACACACACACAGAACCCACACACACCACACACACACATCAATCAACATCACACATCACACACCTACTACACTACAACACACACATCAATCACACACATAATCATCACACAACCTAACATCACTCAACTACATAAATATAATATATAGAATAATAGTAAAATATATTAAGTAGATAATATATAGTAGAAATATAATATAACATATAGATGATAAGACTCGTAATATGCAACAAAGTATATATATATATATATATATATATATATTTATATATAATATATATATATTATATTATTTGTGATGTATTCATGTATGTATATTTTATATTTCATATATATGTCATAAGCTATATATATATTGTATATGTAAATAGCAATATATGTATATATGCAGTATATATACTAATATATCCATATACTATAGTATATATATATATATATATATAATATATTATATATTATACTATAATATACGCTAGTATAGAGTATATATATATGTATACAAAATATAATTCTTGCACATAATAGATATACTCTCAATACAAATCCAAATTACTATACAAGAAAAAATAAAATACTGATAATATATATATAAAAATAGTATAATAAATAAAAAAAATATAATAAAGAAAAAAGATACATAAAACATAATACAATTATCTGAGTGTGTGCATATGATTGATGTGTGTGTGTGTGTGTTGTGTGTGTGTTGTGTGTGTGTGTGAGTGTGATGATGTGAGTTATGTGAATATATACATGGTGTATAAAAATTATATGTGGGATTGAGATGTGTGTGTGAATATAACAAACGTGTATAGATGATGAGTGGTTGTGTGCGTGTATTGGTGTGTGTGTGTGTAGCGTGTATGTGTAGAAAGAAACAATGAGTTAGTGTGGTTGTGTGAGTGTATGGAAAAAAAAAGAAAACATGTGCTGTGTGTGTTAGTGTGGATAGTGATGTCGTGAATGAGTAGCTGGTGAGTGTAGTCTGTCCGTAGTGCTCGTGATGGTGTGTGTGTGTGATGTATGATAAAATAAATAATATATATAAAACTAATACTATACTTATAATCAAATCATCCAAATATATATAATAACTAAAAACAAATAAAAACTATAACTCAGAATAAAAACTACTACCTATAGATAGAGGACATATAACATCATACTTAAACACAGTAACCACAAAACTAATCCCACACAACGACAAGCGCACAACAAATATGAATACATCAAACTCTAGATATGATATACATTCAAAAAGATAATAAGCTCATTAGAAATACTAATTGTTGCATATATTACTATATAAGAAAGAAGAATTATGTATGATAAATGTTACGCAGAGATAATATGAGTGATTAACAAAAACTCAAAGCAACTAACTGAAACGATAAACTTATAATAACTAAACAGAGGTGAAAGTATAAGTATAAAAGTAGTAATAAGATAATCAAACATAACACATACACACACACCTACCACCGCGGCCTCTTCACGTCCAGTCAGCCTCAATATATATTCTATAAAATGAAAATAAAAGTAAAAATATATATAATAATATATATATTATTCATATAATATATAATATATATATATATTATATATATACTATACATATATATATACTATATATATATTATATAAGTTATATACTATTATATAAAAAAAAGAATAGTAATAAAA